TCTTATGTTCTTATGTTTACATGATACTGTAATTTTTTTTTAAACATATGTGGGAGAGTTTTTTGGAACATATGTGGGAGCCAAGTGGAAAGTTAACAGAGGCATCATACCTCACAGGAGTGTTGCAGTTGAGGAAGCACTTACTGGCTTCTAGAATGTATAAGTAAATTGAATCTTGGCAGAAGGGTTAAGTGTTTTGAACTAGAAGAATCACGATTCGAGGACACTAAGATAGAAAGAATAAGGCAAACCAAAGTATAGCTAAGGAGACATGAGGAAAACTAGGGTAAACAGAAGACATTCTAACTAGGGGGTATGGTTCATTGGTATGGACAAAATGGCACACCAGGCACTGGAAACTGAGTTACTGTTATGCCCCTGCTTACTACACTGCAGCTCTAAGTAAAGTTAGACACTCACTGAAGTAAAGGGGCTTAGAAGGGTACAACTTGACTTAAGATAGACCTATTAGAAAACTACTTGTCACACATATTTTCACTATATCATTAAAGGCCCCGGTCACACGGAGAATCAGGTATGCGGAGGGGATGGATTAATGGCGGATCAAACTGATATCAGATGCCAACATCTGGCAAGCGTCGCGCACCCGCCCGTAACCCGTCGCATCCGGCTGAAAATGCGGATCAAAAAGGTATTAGGGGAAATGGAATACCTACAAGAAGATCCGCAGCAACGGCGGGCGTGGGATCGCGGACGCATCGGCAGCCCGTAGCATCCTGCAGCCATCCACAAGCCGCACATGCACACTAATGCGGGACCACCATGTTGCCTCACTGGAACTACGCCGTTGCCTCCCCAGTGTGATCGGATGCCGACGGAGGGAGAACGGAGCCGCGGAGGAGCGTAAGATCACGCTCCCATGCTTCTTTTAGCTCCGCATCTAATATGCCTCCCTTCCCCGACGGATTTTCCCGCTTGTGTGACCGGGACCAAACATGATATTTTTGTTCTCTAGTAGCAAATAAACCAAATACCACATGCAATGGGAGTGGGACAAGAAATTTGGGATTTGCTATTTTATTTTTGGTTTTAACAGAAAATGTTTTTAAACTATTATCGCAAGACACTTTGAACCATGAGGAAAGGCAGGATATAAATGTTTGGGATTTGCTATTTTATTTTTGGTTTTAACAGAAAATGTTTTTAAACTATTATCGCAAGACACTTTGAACCATGAGGAAAGGCAGGATAATTGATTAGGCAGTTGATTCCCTTCCTCGAGCGCAAAGATCTGGCACACATATTTTCATTATATCATTAAAAGCCCCGGTCACACGGAGAATCAGGTATGCGGAGGGGATGGATTAATGGCGGATCAAACCGGTATCAGGCACCAACATCTGGCAAGCGTTGCACACCCGGCCGTAACCCGTTGCATCCGGCTGAAAATGCGGATCAAAAAGGTACTAGGGAAAATGGAATACCTACAAGAAGATCCGCAGCAACGGCAGGCGTGGGATCGCGGACGCATCGGCAGCCCGTAGCATCCTGCAGCCGTCCGCAACCCGCACATGCACACTAACGCGGGACCGCCGTGTTGCCTCGCTGGAACTATGCCGTTGTCTCCCCAGTGTGATCGGATGCCGACGGAGGGAGAACAGAGCCGCGGGGGAGCGTAAGATCACGCTCCCATGCTTCTTTTAGCTCCGCATCTAATATGCCTCCCTTCCCTGACAGATTTTCCCGCTCGTGTGACCGGGACCAAACATGATATTTTTGTTCTCTAGTAGCAAATAAACCAAATACCACATGCAATGGGAGTGGGACAAGAAATTTGGGATTTGCTATTTTATTTAACAGAAAATGTTTTTTAACTATTATCGCAAGACACTTTGAACCATAAGGACAGGCAGGATATAAATGTTGTAATAAATAAACTGGTTAACTCTAGGGTACAAAATTAATCTTTTAAACCTCCTTTTTCTGGCTCCAGCTCTGTAAACCAAATTGTACAACCCCCTCTAGACACTAGGGGCTGCAATCCTATGCCTCCTTAGCAGGATGCAAGATGTTCCTTCTAAGCTGTAGGGTCGTGTGAGCAAAAATTCTACTTTGTGAGCTGCTGGCATTAAAGTTGTGAGTGAGCGATTTGACTACTGCATAAATTAGTCTGCTCTGGAGCCATCCTTCCTGAGCCAAGACAAAAATGTGTGAGCCAGAGGCTAAAAAACTGTGAGCCAGCTTACACTAACTCAGCTTAGAGGGAACACTGTGCAAGACCCATTTAATTCAATGGTAATAACTGCAAAATGAAGGTTGCTTGGGATAGGGATCCAAGGGAAATCCGATTTAGTTAATGGCCTAAATATGGAAGGAAGATGCAGGAAACAATCCACTGTGAAATACAGCCTAGCACACAACATCTCACACCTGTTAGAGGTGCAAAATAGCTGCAGATTGCAACAGGTGTGCTATGAGAGTGGACTAAAGAACACAATTCATTTTGCATTCACAATGAGGGAAATTCCATGCTGAGAATTAAATCCTTAGCAACTATTCAGGTAAAATAGTGGTCACTAGTTTCTGTGTTACCCAACTGAACTATATGTGTGTGTATGCTTCACTCTCCTCAGCAATTCACTTTTGCACATTTGGTCTAATACAAAATACTTTCAAATCAGGTGCAATCCAGCTCCAGGAAAACCAAACGGCCAGTTAACTCAATGGCTGTATGTTGTATTTTTATCAATTCAATATACAATTTCATTTCAACGTTTCATTGTATGGCTCCTTGTGGATGCCTACAAACAGGAATGGAGGCTCATCTTTCAAATCACTTCTTTACACTTACACTGTAGCCTTTCTATAGCAGGGCTTCTTCTTTTCCTGAGAGACTAATCCTAAAGTAAGACAAAAATAAACCTCCCCTGCCAAGTCATTGCTAACCTTGACAGCTGAAGGTTATCCCAACAGCACAAATGTGCATACCTTTGATGACAGAAAAAGGAGGAAAAATTATACCCTTTGTGCAAATGTCTGAGTTTCCATCAGAAGAGGAGAAACTGTTCTAGGTGCTTATTTGAACATGAAATTACATATCTAGGGAAGTGGGTAGATATGAATTACTGAAGAGTGCAGGTAGTAAAGGTTGCAACTAAAATTTATATTCCTCACCCTTATAGGTGGAAACACTTCTTCCTTCCTAATATACTCCCTACATATACTATGTTATCAGAAATCTTTTTCATTTAAACTTAAAACCCTGAGCAAAGAAGACTACAATCTTAAGTAGAGTTTCTGGAACCAATATTCACTGACAAACACGGGACTTACAAGCAAACATAGCTGGGAGACTTAGACGCCAAAGTTACAGAGCACCTTGTTTGCTATAGCAGAATCGAAAAGCTCATCCCGCTCTGCTCAAGCCTTGTAATCATTCTGATTCCCTGGCAGAAAGACCTCAGGATTTCTTCCAGTAGTGCCTTAAATTCACCCCAAGAAAAAGCAAAACTGTGAAAGCTAATTTTGTGGCTACAACAGGCCGCTGAGTAAAGTTTCCACACTCCATGCATACATAAGACACACTGAAGACCCAAAGTTTCCACCGTGAAAACATGAATGGAGCCAAACGGTTCTGAAATAAGGGATCAAACTTCCAATGAGGTTGTGATGGTTTGCATTTAGGAGGCAATCTTCAAACGTAAGAATGTTCCTTTAAAAAGCCCCACAACTTTGCACATGTAAAGTGCCACCAATTCACAGCTGACTTAAGCAACCCCTCACTGGATTTTCAAGGCAAGAGTCAGAAGAGGGGGTTTGCCGCTGCCTGCCTCTGTGGAGCAACCCCAGACTTCCTTGGTGGTCTCCCACCCAAGTATGAACCAGAGCTGACTCTCCTTAGATTCACCCAGGTCACGTCCCAACAACTTTAAGTCACTGTCTCTGGCCAATGCCCATCCCACCCAGAGTCTCTGCATTCATAGCAAAAGGGCACACAAGGAAGCAGAGACTTTCATACCTGAGACTGAGCCAGTCTAACCAAGGGCTTCTCTCCCCCCCCCCATGATCCTGATGAACCGGGGAGCTGCTTATGGAAGCTCAAGTGGCCAGGCAGAAAGACAACCTGTTTGCAAGATGTCATCCCACATCTCCGCTCCCTCGTTGCCACAACACTGTTTTCTACTTTTCTACTACCTCGACGATAAGCCCACAATATAAAACAGCGCGCACGTGTGAACGCGGATCCGGGAAAGCACCTCGTCCTCCAGCAGGTCTTAAGGACACCCAAGCGCGCCTGTTCCTCGCCTGAGCATCAAGGCGTGACTCGCGCGAGTAAAATCGACTCTCGGGTTTAACACCACGAACAGAACTTTCGCGTCCACCAGCGCGGCCAGCTCCAGCTCTCTGTTCTAGCCCACCAGCCACAAAGCGACGGACGTGCACGTGTGAAGCGGCCCGTCAGCAGATTAGCGGCGTTCTAAGGAAATGAGGCGTTCTTTCAAGCCGCCCCCCCACCCCCGGCTTTTGGGAAATGCCGAGCAACGCGCTAAGGAACTAGCTGTTGTTTTGCACACTGTTTCCCTTCGTCCGGATCTCGCCTTGACGCCCTCCGCGCAAAGACCGCCAAACTTGGTGGCAGACATTCCGTTAACAGACTCGCGAGCAGACAGATACCCCGTCCCCTCGTCCCGTCCCCCCCACCCCGGTCGGCTGCGCCTGGGACTCAGGCCCTCAATGCCCGGCAGGAGGGGAGGGGCCGCGCCGACGCCTTTTTGCAGCAGCCCTGGGGAGTGAGCGGGCGGCATGGAGCGGGCGAGGCAGCCGGCCGGCTCGCCAGGACTAAGCGAGCCGTTCCCCGGCAAGGCGGCACAGCCCGCCCGCATGGCAGCGAGGTCGCCGGCGCGCTCGGGCTCCTCCTGGGCGGCGCCCCCTTCGCCCTCCTGCAGGGCTGCCGCTCTCCCGTTAGGCGGCTCCCTCGTCCTCCTCGGCGCCCGCCTTCCGCTCCTTCTGCCCTTCTCCGCCAGCCGCCCCCAACTTACCTGGCCGTTGCGAAAGGCGCCGCAGCAACATGTCCCTCGGCGCCCCCGGCTCAGGAGCAGCTCGCCTTCCCCGCCGCGGCGGTGGAGAGTGCGGCAGCCGCCGCCGAGCTCGGCCGGACGCCCCGGCATCTCATCGTCTCCTACCCAGCCGCAGGCTGCCCCCCTGTGCGCCGCCGCCGCCGCGTCCCCGCCGGAGAGGGAGAGGGCGCGCTGGGCGGCTCTCTCGCGCCCTCTCTCTCGGCCGCCCTGTGCTGGCTGCACGCGGGGTGGGGTGGGGGGCGGTTTAAACAGCGAGCGCGGCGCCCGGTCCGGAACCCGGGCGAGGAGGAACGAGGCGCTCCCCCTGCGGCTGGTGCGCATCAGAGCTGGGCAGAAGGCGATTAAGCCCTGGCGAAAGGCAGCGGCTGGATCCCATTTCAAAACAGAGCGGGGAGGGGGAGGAGGAGAAGGAGAGCGAGAGAGAGAGAGAGAGACTCGCTTTCAGGGTTGGCTTTTTTTTTTTTTGGTACGTTAATTCA